CGCTCTTCCCCCCAACTTTGCTGTTCTTCTTGCCATGCCCCCTCCCTCCAAACTCCTCCTCTAAACCCCAGTGCAACACACCAACCATCAAAGGGGACAGGCTCCATGCAATTAAAAGACAAGTCAGATCAGTGACATCAAAATTACAGAAATCAAGCTAAAGCTATCCGAGTGAGAGAGGGTTTAGAGGAAGAAAAACAAACTCCTGCCAGCCTTAGGAGATGATTAAGCCTGAGGAGACTGCAGGAAAACTGGTCTTGCGCTTCATTCTAACAGAATGCCCCGAGTAGGAGAATTCTGAAACAATTCCTTCCTGTTCACAAACATGTCCCTCCAATTTACCCAAACTCCAAATGAGCGCAAGAGACGAGCCCCCAGAATATTGAAACCGCAGCACTTTGAAACTCAACCTCAGTGCCATCTCAGAGCGCTAACCATTGCTCTTGAAGGGGGTCACCCGTCCTAGGTCCCGACTGCAGACACTGGCGGCACCATGCCCACCACCCTGCCACTCGGCGCACCCAGAGGACGCATCTGTCTCACACACATGACGGGAGGGTCTGGGAGGCTGCAGCTAACCTCTCCCGGGAGCAGGGAAGGGCACAGGGCACTCAGGTGGGATTCTAGACACACACACACGTGCACAGCCTGGGCTTGGGGAGGCACGGTCTGGCAGGTACACGCGAGAGGCAGAGGAACAGGGCTGAGAAGGGGGAAACACACTGGGATGAGGACTCCCACAAGGACTCAGATGGGGACCCCTTGTAGCCCCTATTCCAACCATGAGAGCGTCAGTGCCTTTGTACCTCAAATGTTCAACACCCCAAGGAAAGAGAACAGGAATCCCGAGAGCTGGGGTGTTAGGAAAGTGGGCAGGCACGGGGCTTGTGGTGACAGGCCAGGTGTGCGGTAGGGGACAGAGGTGGGCTGAGGGACAAAGAGCAGGGATGGAAAGGAAAGGGGGCTCCACAGGGGCCAGGGGCGATGAGGTGATCTAACGGGGCCAGGCCAGGGGTGAGGAGTGGGTGGTGCGATGGTAGAGACAGAGCCACTAGACAGAAGACAGAGACAGAATGGTACCAGAGGGACTGATAAAGGGGAAGGACGGGGGGGACTCAAATAAGGAACGGACACCATATGGGGGGAAAGATATAGGTGATGGACAGCAGGGGAGGGAGGGGGACTGGAAATAAGCATGGTGGGGGCGGGGTAGAAGTGGAGGAGTGGGGAGCACAGAGAAGACCCCAGGGTCCACTGCTCCGCTCCCGGGCTGTGCCGAGGGCAGAGTCTGGGGCAGGGTCCTCACCTGGCCCCTATCCCACCAGTCGCTCTCGCCGGCGCCCCCCCACTCCAAAACACACACAGACCTGGCCCTCCCCCTGCCCAGGTCTCCCCTCCCCCAGCCCTTTCTCTCTCCTCTTCCCTCCCTCTGGACCCTCCACCACCACCACCACCACCCCCTGCCTCCCTCTCTCTCCATCTGGCCCCTTCTCTCCATCCATCTTCCTCTCCTTTTCTACCCCCTACTATTTTCTGAGCCCCTCACCCTGGTCTCCCCCCATCTTCTTGCTTCTCTTTGCACCCCCATGTTTTCATCCCCCCAGCCCCTCTCCTGAGACTCGATTTCCCTGGTATCTTCCTCAGCACACAGCTCTCATCCCAGATGATCTCTGCAGCTCTTCCCCGACTCCTCCTGCCCACCCTCTGGGCGCTCTCCTTCCCCTTCATCATTTTTCTCTCAGCCCCCCCCCAGCCCCAGG